GGCCCCAGCCCCTCCACGGACAGGGGCTGCTCCAGCGGGGGCGGGAGCTGGTGGCAGCCCCAGCACGGGTCTGGGGGTGGGAGCTGCCCCAGCCTGGATCTCGCTTAGTGAGTTAATCTGTTAAACGTTAGGTCAACCTAATGTTTAGCCGATTAACCAGGATTTTACATCCCTAAATCTCAGGGCAGAATAGTCACCTATTTATTTTTCTGTCATCTTTAAAAAATAAACTTTTCTGTTTACATATATTTGCATGCCAATCATCTAACAAACTATACTTGGGAAGGTGTGGTATCAAAGGTAAACATGCTGTAATGCGGAGATATTCATTGTATCGTGTTTACCAACATGTTCTGATACTACTGTTTATTGGAGCATGTTTTACATGCAGGACCAATTGACCAGGGCTTGTAGCTGCCTTTCTGAGAAAACTTCTGCCGTTTGCTGATTTTATCCCACCCCTCTCAAATTGCTTTTGATTAGTACTACTAAGACTAAAATCTAGATAGGAGGCCAGTGTGTTTCTTTTTTTTTTTTTTTTTTTGCCAGATATTGGCAAGGACAGAAAATAGATTTGTTAAATTCAGATAATTTCTGATCAATAGAGTTTTAAAATATGCAAGATATGCACTAGGAACCTCAGTAGTGTTACAGTATTTATACACCAGATTACAAAGTGTTTCATGATACATCTACAATGCTGCATTTCAACATTTAAGAATAAATTACAGTATCCTAAATAGTCTATCATCTCCTTATATTTTTATCTTGATTATTTCTGTGGTAATGAAATATTATCCAGTGATTTCCCTTTAACACCCAACTACACACAGAAGAAAACCTATTTATTTTTGCTTTACAGGGTAGGTAGAATTTTAGTACACCTCATTAATGGCTCTACATATTACAGGATGGCTGAAAAGCTAAGCTTGGCAGGTAAATTTCCCCTTTCATTACCTGCTAATATTGTTTGCAGAGACTCATCTTTGACAACCGCTGACTGTTTATGAACATTCCTGAAAGGGGGGGGAGGTGTGGAGGAGAGAAATCTATCAGTTAAAAAAAAGAAATTAATACTCCAAACATATAACAAACCAGTTTCCAGAATGTTTCTGATTAAAGTTTATTTTCGTCATTATTTTGGTAACACAATTTTAAAAGCCATAAAAAATTAATAGCAAAGCAGAGCTGTATGCACCCGTTTCCAAAAAGGATAAGAAGCATCTGTGGCCCTTTATGTTAGAGAATCTCATCATACTTTGCAAACGTTAAGCCTCACAACATTTCTCTGAGATAATTTGTAAAATAGGGAAAATAGGTATGAACTAAGTAAACTAATGTAGAAAGAGGGGTTAACTGAATTGTCCAAGGTCACACAGTGAGTCAGCAGCAGAGCTGGGAACTGAACCCAGGCCTTCTGACTACTAGGACCATACTCTAGCCGTTAGACAACACACCTTCCAATTAGGGATGCTAGATAGATAGCATGTAATTGAATAGTCATGTAACCGTATGAAATTTTAGTGGTTACACGACTATTCAACAG